GTCAACGTTGCTAAATGAAATAAGTACAATGTATGGCCACTTTTGTAGTATATTTTAGAGAAATCTAATATACAATGAGTCTATAAAATGCTATTCAGTGCTATTACTGTAACAGGGAACATTTCATAAGGAGCATGATGTCATTATCCTGAATTAGATTTTTATTTTTTGCACAATAATCGGTTAGTTTTGTTATTTTGATTATGCTCTAGAATGATGATATATTGCTGTTCATTAAGATTGAACACAGTGTACTGTTTTACAAAGGAATGATTAGCATTATAGTGATTGCTTTTCCCACCTTGCAATTTTAAGTCACCCCTAAATAGTTTCCAGCTAGACTTTTTTAATACAAAATAACCCCATTATTATTATTACACAGCTCTCTGGAACACTTTATTCTGATTGGTCAAATTATTGTACGATTACGACTGGTCGACTACATTATCCTTTACTTGTTTACTCCAGAGTATTCACTCTCTTATATCCTCTTTATATAACATCCCTTAGACTTTAAATATTTTTTATACAAAAACGGTATTGTTTTACATCATTGTAAATAGAAAGATATAAATGTGCTAATCTTGTTTTGAATGACATGCTGAATTTTGTGGTCATATGACTGATTATGATGCAAGGGATCTGTATTTGAAAGGCATTGCAATCGGTGTGACGTGTGATTGCTGATTGATGAAATTACAGTAATTGTCAAGCATCATTCATTAACTGTAACTATAGTGGAGAATTTAGCTTCATGATTACAAATCTGCCTGCCATCTGTTGGTATATAAGGAACATGTATGTGCCAAAAGTAATAGTGGTTATATTCATGAAGACTATTCTGGTACAGTTGCCCCAGTTATGCTCAAATCTTTTATAGCAGTGGTGTTAGTATCAGTCATGTTAAAGGAATAGTTCACACAAAAATAAAAATTGGCTGAATATTTATTCACCCTCAGGCCGCGCAAGAGTTTGTTTCTTCATCTGAACAGATTTAGAGAAATGTAGCTCTACATCACTTGCTCCAGTCAATCAATTGATGTCTTGTGAAGTGAAAACCTGCAAGTTTGTAAGAAACAAATCCATCAAGACATTAACTTAAGTCCACTGCTTCCAGCTAAAATACGAATCCATGATGCATAATATTGTTTTCTCCAGTGAAAAAGTCGTCTCGTCTGAATCAGGAGAGAAATATGCACAGATCGAGCACTGGTTACTAGCAAAAACAGTTCTAAACAAATGTTTTGGTGGATTTTGATGTGAGAGGACAACAAGGGATAGTCACTGGAGGAAGCATTATTATGGATTATGGACTCATATTTTGGCCAAAAGCGATTTTTAAAGTTAAAATTGATGGATTTGTTTCTTACAAACAGATTTTCGCTTCACAAGATATGACATGGACTGGATTTATATGGATTACTTGTGGATTATTGTGATGTTTTTATCAGCTGTTTGGACTCTCATTCTGACGGCACCCATTCACTTATTGGTGAGCAAGTGATGTAATGCCGAATTTCTCCAAATCTGTTCTGATGAAGAAACAAGCTCATCTACATCTTGGATGGCCTGAGGGTGTGTAAATTTGTCAGCAAATATTTATTTTGGGGTCAACTATTCCTTTCACTTTTAAGCAAATATGTTGCAGTTGTCCTATTGATTGGCAGCTCAGTCTGAGAAACAGGATAATTTGGTTAGTTACGTGGGATCTTTCATGCCATGGAGAGATTTGTGATTTTTCCTGCATATTCAGTGATAATTGCACTCCTGATGATGCTGTCATCATAGAGTAAATCATTTCAACATGCCCACCTGCAAGAAAAAAACAACAACAAAAAAACATGCACGGAATCTCAATGGGAAATCACAGTGAATATGCATTTTTACTGAACATTTTAGTTTGACAGTGTTTTTTGTTTGTTTTCAAATAAACTTAATTATATTAACTGTCTCAGCTCCTTGACTTTTATTCAAGGTGAAGCACCTACAATCATACTAGCACTGTATATGAAAAGTTCTTGTCTCATAATTTAATTGACTCATTGAATGATCATTTGTTAAGCACATTTGGCCAGAGTGTTAGAGGTTGAAACACTGAGAGACATCTATGGATACCATCTTCATACAATGAATGACCCACTTATCCAGGCTTGCATTTACTGTTCTGTTGAAGCAGTTGTAATATATAAAAGTTAGTTCAAAAAGTGAACTATTTGCAAAGATTACCAAATAATCTACTGACACTCCAGCCTAAGGCCTATCTGGCACATCTTACTTGATGACCCCCTTTATCACACACATAATTTAACCTATTATTCAAAGAAAGCTTGATGTTGTGAAAGTTGTTTTTCATAGTCGAGCCTAAATGCTAAGAAAGCATTTGTGACACATAGTAAGTTGAACATAATTTTCTTCTGACAGTAGGCCGATGTAATACCACAGAGAATGTGGTGTTGTGTTTCCTGTGCAGTTAATGCACACATGACTGTAATAAGTCATATAAATCAAAATAGTACATCTTATAGCACCACCACGTGTCAGCATTTGGCATTCTGGTATTTAGGACACTTGTGCTGTTTTCTTCCTCAGTATCATAACATAGCATTGCTTGAATGAAATATGCACGAGAATCTGCATTTGAGAATCGGTTTTATTGGGGATATTTTGGTAATATTTTAATAGGCGAAGCAAAACTGCAACTGAACTTTACAGAGTTATCATGCACGCATTTTGTATGTAAACATCAGTTTCAGCGACATAATGTTGGGAAGATGATAATATGACTACATTCAATTATCTGCGAATTATCTGTCTGCTTGATTTTAAAGCATTTGAAACAAAACATTCTCACAAAATCATTAAGAAATAAAGGAGGGCTTACATTTTTTTCGCATTATGTGTAAATGGGATTTACCACCAAAAATGACCATGTTCACAAGGTCAGAAAACTTGGAGTTCAATATAATCTTATATAATATAAAAATAGATATAATTATAAAAAGGGATATAATATAATATATTTTAGCGAAAAATAATACGATTTTAGACAAAAATAACAGGGTTATAATAGAAACCCTAACAGAATAATCCCAAGCACTCAGAATTTCGCAGCTTTGCGTGCAATTATTTAATAAAGCTAGCTCTTTTAAAATCAATAATAAACATTTTCACGCCAAGACGTACAGTGACGTAATTTCCGGTTTGAACGGCAGAGCAGCAAATCAGGGCGATTGACGAGCGAGATCATGTATGAGGGGAACCCGGTTTGCGAAAACATCGGACATTGCGGGGAAAAAGTAGGCACAAACATTGTATTACTTCATTACATAAACACGTTATGTCAGGTTTGACCGACGGAACATTTTCTTCACGAAACGTCTTGACGTGATGGACGCACCTGCCAAGCGCGATGCCAAGCTAAGCTAAGGCTAAAGTCGAGCTAATTCACAATCAAATAAATATGCAAATAAAACACGAGACATGCATTTCGATGTCATTAGATGAGCGATATTTAATGATTTTGTCGTCAACGAAATGAGCTGAAAAGAGTAACGTTATACGGGTTAAATGGTCGTAGCCTGCAGGCCGTGTTGTTTACATACTAACGTTATATAAATTAATCTAGTTTCATCTGAATTTCCATAGTTCCTACACTAATTTATAGTAACGTTACAATAAACTGCTAATTTTAATCTAGCCATCATGGGCATCAGAAATGCGGACGTCCCATATACATTTATATATTTTACAGTAATAATAATTGTAGTTAATATGGTTTCCATTCTGTTTTTCTAAAACAACAAAATGGTATCGAAAGAAATACTGATAAAACTCCGTTAAGATAAAGTCATGAGCTGTCAGATGTAGTATGTGGTTGTTAACTTAAATTAAATAAGAGGTTTATGATTAAATGCTGAAGAATATGGATCAGTGTCTGCCTGTTTGTAACGATAAACATTGTCAAAGGAATGATTAGCATTATAAATAGGGTTGTCTATTTGGACCATAAACTTGGATAATATATGTGCACCACTTTCCAGCAGTTATGAATCGTGAAGTACTTACGAATCGCTGATTTCTGAATGTCAGATTTAGGAAATCGGACATATATTCCGTATATATACCACAGTTTTATAAGGTTTTTTGTGGAAATGAATACTTTTATTCAGCAAGGATGCATTACATTTATCAAAAGTGGCAGTAAAGGCATTTATAATGTTACAAAAGATTGCTGTTTCAAATAAATGCTTTTCTTTTGAACTTTCTTTGAATCAGGAAGAGCAAAAAATATCAGTTTTCACAAAAATATGAAGCCGCACAACTGTTTTCAACATTGATAATATTAAAGGTCCCATGACATGCTGGTTTATGCTTCGCTCGTTTGCAAGCCATGATGTCTCTCGAGGAAAAAAAAATATTGCGCTCGCCTCGCACGGCAGTAGCTCATTTTCTCATGGGCGGGCCAAATTATCTGGGCGGGCAAAGCAGAGAAAGGGGAGGTAACCTTTCCCCGTATGACGACATAAAGGGAAGATTCCAGATTGGGCCATCTGAGCTTTCATTTTCTCAAAGGCAAAGCAGGATACCCAGGGCTCGGTTTACACCTATCGCCATTTCTAGCCACTGGGGGACCATAGGCAGGCTAGGGGAACTCATATTAATGTTAAAAAACCTCATAAAGTGAAATTTTCATGCCATGGGACCTTTAAGAAACGTTTGTTGAGCAGAAACATCACATGAATAATTACATTTTAAATATATTCAAATAGAAAACAGCTATTTTAAAGTGTAATAATATTTTAGAATAGTACTGTTCTTACTGCATATTTCATGGGGAAAAATGACCTAGTTCTTCCAAGTTAACCCTATATATGCACACACACATTTTATATTGTGTGTATTAAAGTTATAATCGGTTTGATTGACAATTATTTTCTGTTTCTATAGGTAACTGTCTTCATGAAGTTTTAATTGTCACATACTCTCAGCTGTAAACACCCCCCACCCTTAGCCAGGTAAGTACTCTCTATTTGGCAGGTAACTTTATTGGGAACTGCGAAACCTTACCTCAAAAATATTCACAGCATGCTCAATGCAAACTTCAACTGCCTCTGTGAAAACTTGACCTGAACAAAAAGAAACGCTCGGTTTTTCCACAGGCAAACACAACCCCTCCCAAGCTGAGCCGAGATGAAGCGAAGGGCAGAGGGGCATTGCTCTCTGATATCTGCAAAGGGTCCAAGCTGAAGAAAGTTGGCGTTGTCAGTGACAGGAGTGCACCTATGATTGAGAGTAAGTGGAAAACACCTGAGAATAGCATTAATTTCAAAGGTCAGCAAACGTGGGACATCACTGAATTCTTTTGTGGTTTTTCAGAGCCGAAAGGAAGTGGCGGAGGCGTGTCCAGCAGTGAAGGGTCTTCTGCACCGGTCCAGCCTGTGGGAAGGATGTTTCAGGGTGGCGTCCCAAAATTACGACCTGTAGGAGGTGTGATGATTGTTAAAAATGTTTGGTTTTGGTCTATTTAAAGGAATAGGTCATTCAAAAATGGAATCGTTTTAACACCCTCTGTTGTGCCCAGTATGCTATTGTTGGTGCTCAAATGAGAATTTGAAAAATATTCACATCAGTTTATACCAGTGATAACAGACAAGCTACACTCTTGAAAATAAAGGTTCCAAAAAGGTGTTTTTGCAGCAGTGCCATAGAAGAACTATTTTTGATTCCCCAAATAATCTTTCTGTGAACAGTTCTTAGAAGAACCATTTTTTTTCTTATTGAGGAACATTATAAAAATCTAAAGATCCTTTTTCCACTATAGACTGTTTTATCTGGCGCACACGCCTGGCCCAAAATTAACTTCCAGTTTGTGTTTGTTTTATCAGTCTGGCTAGTGGCGCCGACTACAAATGCAGTTAAAGGGGTCATATGATGTGATTTCAATTTTTCCTTTTTATTCTCGCTGTAGTATTGTTGCTGCCGCCACCGCCATGTTGTGGAGACGCTGTGTGTTTTGTTGTGAAAGCGAAACTAATTTGTTTGGTCTTCCAAAAGAGTACGTTATCCGCTTTGTCATGCCTAGAGCTGATCCGTGCTGGTCGCTGAGGAAATACATCAAAAAAGACAGTATAAGTCATTATAATCCGTAATTATGTCCCCACTGGATGCAACAAATGCCTAATTTATAATGGGTTTTAATGTTTTTGTCTCGTCGCTCCGGCCGGACAGGGCATCACAGTATGGTAAGGGGTGTAACATTTCCGTCACACGCTTGAGGTATTCGGCCAATCACAATGCACTGGATAGCTGGCCAATCAGAGCACACCTCGCTTTTCAGACTGATGAGCTTTGTAAAAATCGATGCGTTTCAGAAAGGCGGGGCATAGATGAGAAACAATAATGTACAGTATGTGGAAAATAATGTGTTTTTTGAACCTTAAAACGCATAAACAGATTTCAATACACCAAATACACAAAATAATGTTCTTTTTAGCAACATCATATGACCTCTTTAAAGTTAAGGTAAAGAGTAGACTGAAGTTGAGCTCAGGTTGTTGTGCTGTGGGATGCAATGTTTCCCATACATTGACTTATTTGTGGCGGCATGCCACAATATCAAAACTGACTGCAACAAATAGATTTTCCAAAAGACTTTGACTTCGTTGAATAAACATGAGCACTGCACGTTTCAAAATCATAATGCTGCACATGTGTTTTTATATCACTCTATCTCTGAAGGAAACCAACTGTCTTCAGAAAATGTTCAATGTCATTTTCATTTCATCTTGCATGTAATGTCTGATAAAGCAGCGTTTGTGAGCTCAGCGCTGCTTTTTGTACAGCTGTTACCGGGGAAAACTCTTATTTCTTTCTATTTCAAATGCACAGTAATGTTTATGTTGTTGCCGTTGAAGCAGTCTATAAAGAACCTTTTGTGGAATGGAAAGATACCATGGATGTTAAAGGTTCTTCATTGAACCATAGATGCCAAAAAAGAACCTTTATTTTTAAGAATGTGTAGATTTCCTACTTAGTTTTTAGTTTTTATTCATTTAGTTTTTATTCATTCCTACTTTGTTTTTTGTTTTTATTCATTTTGTGCTTATTCATTCTGCAGTGATCATTGTCTAAAAATATGATTGATATTTGATTATTGTGCCAGTGTTTCTCAGATATGCAAAGGGAGTTTTCTCAAACTAAACTCACACCTTGTAATTATGGTTGATTCTTCTGCTGAACCGGTTGTGTTGCAGATGGTTCTGCGGGCAGGTCTGCGTTGCACCCTCCTGGCACTCGTTCTGCTGCACCTCGCCCACCTGGCAGCCACGATGACCCCGACAGTCCCTCTCAGCAGGCCTCTCCTCCAGAGTCTGGCTGTTCCCAGAGACCGTCCCTACCTGATCTCTCCCGTTCCCCCGGTGGAGGCAGCAGCCCGTCTACAGGCATGAAGCACAGCTCTTCTGCCCCACCTCCACCACCCCCCATGTCTCGGCGTGGAAATGCTCCTCCTGCCCCGCCGCAGAAAGCCACAGCGCCCTTGTACAATCGCGAAAAGCCACTTCCGCCGACTCCAGGGCAGCGAGGACCTTCTCCAGCGCCGGTGCGTGAAAACGCACCACCTCCACCAGTGAAGCCTCCTCCGTCACCTGCAAGCAGCCGCTCGTCTTCATCCTCTTCTTCCTCCCTGGCCCCGCCGCCGCCCCCTTACCGTCAGCAGTCTGGGGTTTCCAATGGCCCCTCCAGTCCTGTGAATGAGGCAGCCCCCGAACTGCCCCAGAGACACAACTCACTCAGCAAGAAGCCTTCAGCAGGTGGACACACACCGACACGTGGACATGTGCCGCCTCCACCACCGTCACCCACCCCACAGGCCGCCAGACCCCCTCCTCCAGCACGAGAGCCCCCGGGACGAGGAGCAGGTGAGCTCTATTGTCTGTGACATTTATCTAGTTTACTAAAATGAATTATTTTTGTTTTAAACAAAAACTACTACACAAAAGTATGGATGCGTTTATGTTTTTGAAAAAAATCTGTTCTGCTCACTAAGGCTGCATTTATTTGATCAAAAACACAGTAAAAACAGTAATATTGTGAAATATTATTACAACTTTAAATTAACTGTTTTCTACTTTAATATATTTTAACATTTTATTTATTCCTGTGATTATAAAGCTGAATTTTCAGCATCATTATTCCAGTCTTCAGTGTCACATGATCTTTCAGAAATCATTCTAGTATGCTGATTTGCTGCTCTTATTATTAATGTTAAAAATGGTTTAAAAAATATTATCTGTGAAAACCTTGATCCATATATTTTTCAGGAGTCTTTAATAAACAGAGCAGCATTTAAACAGAACAGCATTTATTTGAAATATAAATCTTT